GTGTTCCATGCAACCCTAAAAAATAAGTTCAAGATAACAGCAGCCTTGGCATTATGCTGAATTACTCCGTTCGTGTTCCACAGGAGAAAAAGTGTTTTGAGAGACATGAGGGTAAATGCATGGTATATTTACACAATACATGGTATATATACAGAATATTTATTTTTGGTTGCATTATCCCTTTAAGTATTATCTACTATCTACATAATCATGTAGCACCGCTAAAAAGATGGCAGCATTGAATGTTTAATTGACACTTGTGACATTCTCTCCTCATCTTTGCTCTAATGATCATCTGTTTGACAGTGAACAACATTGATGGTGACAGTCTACTGCTGAACGAGGAAAAGAAGGAACTTGATGAGCTAAATCAGAATGCGCCCAAACACATTCTGCCATACAGCTCCATGTTTGTGTTTGGTCCAACTAACCCGTGAGTTAAACCCCAATTATTATGTTGCATTATTATGTTGCAGAAAACTCTTGAGGAGAGATTTTAAATATGTATCACATATACAGTATTACTTGCCTCAATTTGCTCAGAATTAGCATTTAGTTGTAACGTACCTGCTAAATATTGTGAATAAGTGTTGTTTCTTCATGTTGTCTCTACAGAGTGAGACGGCTGTGTCATTATGTGGTGAACCTACGGTACTTTGAGATGTGTATCCTCACAGTCATCACCATGAGCAGCATCGCCCTCGCTGCTGAAGACCCTGTGCAGGCCAATGCCCCGCGCAATGATGTAAGGCACACAGACCTACCTGGAAATGTCAGGAAATGTAAAATCTGTAATTTCCAAATCTGAAAAAGTCAGATTTGGAAACACTTGACTGGCTTTTGCACCATATTTTTATTTCGGGACAGCCCGTGAGCAGACTTAAGCACCTATTGCCACCGCATTAGCCCATGAGCGTGGCTTATTAAGCATTGCTCTCTGAATTACAGAGAATTATGTGTAAACATGTCTCCAAGAATCCTATAGTCCACTGTCTTTTCCTTCTAATTGATTCACTGAGCATCATCGGCTTGTACAATGAATCTCTGCTTTCAGTATTTCCCAGCTGTTCATGTGGGAGGAATGAAAGATAGAAAAAAAAGAGTATTTATTTGAAACATCTATTTTTGTCTCTCATAAAATACAATGTACATCATGTCTGTTCTGTTTGGGAGATTATTGAATTACTCACTGAATCATAGCTGCAGTGGGGCCAAACATTATGGTTTATTCTGAGATTTTTATATTATTTATGGCATCATCCACTTTCCTTTGCTCAAATGGTTTGTGAGACTTCAGAAATATGAAGAAAATAACTGCTTATTTCTAACTCCTTATTTCTTGTGGTTTCCTCAGGTGCTGAAATACCTAGATTACGTCTTCACTGGTGTGTTCACATTTGAGATGGTTATAAAGGTAAATACAACTGCCGTTCATCTATTTTTTTTAAAAACTTGCAATATTAAATAATATTGATTTACATTTTTTAAAACCGTTTATTCACCCTACCCTTCACAAGTTTAGGGATTCTGTGATTTTTAATGTCTCTTGAAAGAAGTATCTTATGATCACCAAGGCTGCATTTGTTTGATCAAAAAATACAGTAAAAGCGGTAATATTGGGAAATATTATTATAATTTAATATAAATATTATTACAATAATAAGAAAACAGTTGTGCTGCTTAACATTTTTGTGGAAACTGAGATACGTTGTTTTCAGGATTCTTTGAATCTTTAATAGAAAGTTCAAAAGAACAGCACATTTTTTAAATAGAATATTTTGTAACATTACAAATGTCTTTACTGTCACTTTTGATCA